ACTTTCCCGTATTTTATTCACATAAGAATAGTAGAATACAATATTACTTATCATATTTATGCAAAAATATAGATAAAATGCAATTTCTATGTTCCGACTAGTCCCCGCCTAGGCGCCCGCCTAGCCGCCTAGGCGCTAGGCACTGGGCTGGCGCCCGACTAACGCCTAGCGCCTTTTAGAACATTGATACAAATATATAATCCAATTAAATTTAACAACATTGACTTGAAAAGTCAAATTTAACCCAATAAAAAAGGACCGAAGGAGAATGTGTAGAGGCAAAATAGGAGACAGATACCCATGAAGTGTACAAAAGGATTCTTCCTAATTAATTAAGAGCCTGTTTGGTAACATGAAAATTGGCTGATTCAGTTGATTCTGCTGGAATTTATGAAATTCTGGCTGAAGTGGCTGCATTGGCTGATTCTGCTGATTTAAGAAAAACTATTTTAAAAATATATTTTATTAATAAAATATAGAAAAATTTATATGTAAAAATAGTTAAAATGGTCATCTACAATAACTTCAGCCAATACAGACAGAAAAGTAACTACAACCTTACTTTTTCTTATTATGACACAAGTCAGCGTGCGAAAACAAAAGTTACGTGTTTGGTGAAAAAATTGACTGATAAACCGAAAAACAGTGTTACCAAACGATCTCTAAATTCATCTACGGAGACAAATACGAGTACCAAAAGAAGGAACACTGTCAACTGAAAAATATAGAGTACAGTCAAATATTCTTCTCCTGTTATCAAACGGCCCTCATCTAACGCAGTTAATGCATTGCCTTTAGTCCTTTACTACTCTTAAACCACAACTACTCTCAATGTATTAGTGCTCATCATTAACCATTTATTAATACGAATGAATAGTCTTTAATTACTCATCAACAAGATTACTCATCACCTTTATTAAATAAAATTTATTAAATTTTGCCATTTACTAAAACATTACAAAAAGTTCCCACTAAGGGCAAAAAATAAATTAAATAAGACCCAATACATATACAATAAACAAAAATTGTGTTAAAGCAATATAAAAAAATCTCACATTGCATTAACGGACGATGTAGGATTGGAGATCAAATAGGTAATTTGATTTGAAAATATAATGGAGGAAGCTTATGTACTTCATCATGGAAAAAGTGTACTTTTCCAAGTACTATAAATAAAAATTAAACATATATACTTCCTCCATATATTCTCTTTTAGTTCCTACGTTCCACTTTTCCGGTTTGATAATGCACAAGTTGATCATTAATATATTTAATTTCTTGTTAGTAAAAACATTAAAGAATTATGATTTTGCAAATTTAAAATGAGAAGAATTATAAAATATTTTGAAAAATGTAATTTATAATACAATAACTAATAAAATATAGTCAAAGTAGAACATATAAACTCTGAAAATTCACCAATTTTGCAACTCAAAAGGGAAGATGCTACCTTTATCCCTTTTCATTTAGCCAATTTTGATTTTTGCAGTCAAAGATGATAAACTTTGATTCATTATTTCAATTAATATATATTTATGTGAAAGTTAACAAATATATACTTTTATGATTACATTTTTAGCAAAGAATATTTTCATATCATTCTTCATATTTTCAATATTGTTGTGTATAATTGTATAAATATATAATCAATCAAAGTTTAAAATGATTAACTTGAAAAACATTGTTTGACTAAATACAATTGGAGGAGGGAGTATTCTACACTAGTATATGATCCGAGTGTGAAGGGAATACTTCAATTCATGCAATTAAAATCAAGTTACAGTCTTCCGTCTCATCAAACTTTTTTTTTTGAACCGGGTCTCAACATCTTTCATTAATTCAACAAGTCATTCGCCACTTGGCTTACAATACAATCCGGAATAGAATCATAGCTGCTACTATGATCTGAGATGGTAACATGCGTTCTTGCTAAAGCATGAGCCGCACGATTCGCAGATCGCTGACAAAAAGAGATAACATAATTACTCTTTGTCTGAACTAAACAACGTATATCATCAAGAATCAGATCGATATATGTCGCACCCTCACTACTTTGGACCCCTCGAGCTACTACTTGTGCATCCGTTTCTATTTCCACCTGTCCCATCCTTCTGAAATTCCTGCCAGGACAGCCTCCCGAAGACCCATTGCCTCCGATTCCGCCGGAGACCATTCCGCTTTGCATGATGCCCCTCCTGCTTTCACAAATTCACCCTGATCATCTCTTGCAATCCAGCCCCAAGCTCGCACTCCTCGTGTAATGTCAACCGCTGCATCAACATTGATCTTGATTACTCCTGCTCTCGGCCGCTTCCACCTCTGGTCGTCCCTCCTTGCCTGACTCGGTGACCTTACTGCAGACGGTTGTGCCTCCCTCCATGCTAACAACATACTCGAACAGCAACTAATAACACTAGCCGAGCTCTGCCAATCTCCCTCCCAGACTAGAGCATTACGACGCTTCCACAAGCCCCAGACCAACATAGCAACTTTACACCGCTTCTCCTTATCGGGTACAGAGAGTAAGCTTTGAAGCCATACCTCCAACGTGACTTCACCGTTCCCAGTAGCTATGCCCGCCTCCATCCACACTTCAGCCGCTTTCGGACAGGATCTCAAAGCATGCTCCGACGTTTCTTCATCCTGCGAGCAAATTTCGCAAATATTCTGGATTGGTACTCCTTTTCGTGCAAGATTTACCAGTGAAGGGAGAGATCCATCTAAAACCTGCCAAAGAAAATATTTAATTTTTGGTGGGATTTTTAACTCCCATAAATCTTTCCAACCGTTCCATCCCCCAACTTCCCCTCCCTGCATAAGAGCCCTATAGCAGCTCTTAACCGAGAATACCCCATTATTCTCTTTACTCCACCAGAAGCCATCTTTTTTGTCCTGCAAACTAATAGGAATACTTGAAATAATTTTTCTTTCTTCATTATTAAATATAGCTGCAATTCTTTCAGTATTCCACTTCTTCCCAGTACTATCTCTCAAGGCTGCGACATTCATATCAGCAATACCGGGCGGTTTGGCTGATTGGACCTTACCTACCCCAGGACCAGGTAGCCAAGCATCCGCCCAAACTTGAACCTCTCTCCCGTTCCCAACTCTCCTTCGAATGTTCTCTTTTAGTACTCCTTGGGTCTCAAAAATGATTCTCCAGATATAGGACGGATTATTACCCAACTTGGCCTTTAAAAACTCCGAATTAGGAAAATATCTTGCTTTAAGAACCCGCGCCATCAAGCTCTCCGGATTTGAAAGAAGCCTCCATCCTTGCTTTGCTAGCATGGCAAGGTTAAATTCCCTCAACTTTCTGAATCCTAGGCCTCCCATACCTTTCGGCTTACACATGAGCTCCCACCTGCGCCACCTGATACCTCTCTGTTCAAACTTAGTGCCTTTCCACCAGAATCCATTCATAAGCTTTTCAATTTCACCACATAAATCTCGAGGTAGAAGGAATACATTCATGGCATATGTAGGCATAGCTTGCACCACATTCCGCAATAACACAGCCCTTCCTGCCCGGGATAAAAATCTATTATTCCAGCTTTTAATTCGATTAAAAATTCTCTCTCGAATGAAGCCAAGAATAGCTGATTTTCCTCTCCCAATCATACTCGGTAACCCCAGATACTTCTGTTGCCCTCCCTCCTGCGCCACTCCAAAAAATTACAACAATAATTTTTAAAGGTGTCAATAACGTTCTGGCTGAATGTTACCGTAGACTTGGAAAAATTAATCACCTGCCCAGAAGTTTCCTCATACTCCTGCAAAATCTCCTTAACAGCAATACATTCATGTCCTGAAGCTTTAAAAAACAAAAAGCTATCATCAGCAAAAAATAAATGAGAAACATGTGGGGCTCCTCTACAGACCGCCACTCCGTGAATGTTTCCCCTCTGTTCCGCTTTTCTGATCAAAGCACTCAACCCCTCAGCAACAAGAATAAATAGATAGGGGGATAGGGGGTCCCCCTGGCGCAAGCCCCTTCCCGGATAGACAGGCCCCAAAAAAACACCGTCAAACTGGATGTAGTAACTGACCGTCCTGACACACTCCATCACCATATGCACCCAACGGTCACAAAATCCCATTTTAATCAAAATTCCTTCCAAAAAAGCCCAGTCAACTCTATCATATGCCCTACTCATGTCAAGTTTAAGGGCAATAAAACCCTCCTTTCCATTATTTTTCCTTCTCAAAAAATGTTGAGTCTCGAAGGCAACAATGATATTATCAATAATAGATCGTCCTGGTATAAAAGCACTCTGGCTTTCCCCAACTAACGAGCTCAAAATCCCCATTGATCCTGTTAGCTAAAACTTTAGAAAAAATTTTATAAACCACATTGCACAACGCAATTGGTCTCCAGTCGCCCATGTCCTCCGGTTTCTCTTTTTTAGGAATCAGAACAACATTCGTAATATTAATATTATCCGCCAACTTGCCTGACTCAAACATAGTGGCGCATAAGGCTGAAATTTCTGGGCCCACAATATCCCAATTAGAGCTGTCAAACGGGCCAACCCGACCCAACCCGACCCAACCCGTAACGGGTTATGCTTTATGTGGGTTGGGTCGGGCCAACCCGTTTAATGACGGGCCAGGATTTCTACAACCCTAACCCAACCCACCTAACTCGTGGGTTAAACGGGTTGGCCCGCGGGCCAATGTAAAAAAATATAAAACAATTTTTAAAAAAAAAATAATTACCCGGAAGTATATATTTATATTAGCAAGTAGTAACAAAGGAAATATAAGTAATCAAAATACTAAAAATTCAATACTTATTAAGTTTAAATAAAATATTTAATACTAGTTATACGAGAATTTGAAAACTATAAGAGGCTATGCGACAAAAATACTCATTATATAAAAATAAGGATTTACATAATATAAATTTTTTGATTAATTATTTGCAAATAATAACTACTACGTAGTAATTGTTAAATATTGTATCGAACATCACAAAAAATATATGTTTCAACATTTTATTTGAATATTTATTATAGAAATAAAAGAATAATACTTTTTTAATTGTAATTATAATAATGTTGGTAGCAAAAGAACAATATTTTAGATAATAAAATTCAAAACTATATTTTTGTATCTTGGCCCGCGGGCCAACCCGTAATCCGGTGGGCCAACCCACTTAAACCCGCAACCCGTGTGGGTTGACCCACGAAACCCGCGAACTAAATGGGTCAGGAATTCTCAACCCTAACCCACCAATAAATGGGTTTAAATGGGTCAGCCCGCGGGTTTCAGCCCATTTTGACGGCTCTAATCCCAATATGCCTGAAAAAAAGCTGGATTCATGCCATCTGACCCCGGCGCCTTCTCCGAGTGCATTTCAAACATTGCCGCCTTAACTTCCTCCGGACTAATAGGCCTAGACAACACATTGTTTTGTTCGTTCGTGACTTGAACAAAATCTCCACGAATATCACTGGTACTGGTTCTCCCCGGAGCCTGAAAAAGAGATAAAAAATAATCCAAGACATTTGCCCCCAGCTCACCCCTGTCCGTAATCCACGACCCATCCACTTTCCGGATACCAGTCATTTTATTTCTCCTTCTCCTCTGTTTGACAGCATTATGGAAAAAGCGGGAATTTATGTCCCCCTCTCGAAGCCAGAACTCTTTGGCTCGCTGCTTCCAAAAAAGGTTTTCCTTTTCTAGCAACACCTGTAGAGTAGCTCGGACTCTCAAGAATTCTATAACACCAGCTCTATCCTCCTTCCCCCGCAACCACACTAGTCTTTTTTTACACGCAATGATCTGCTGTCTGAACCCCCGCCTCCTCCCTTTGTCCCACCGTAACAATTCAGTCCCACAAAAAAAATAGTTTTTCATTAATAGCCATATGGGTAGCCGCCCCCCAGCTATTTGACACCACCAATCTACATTCTTCTTCATTAACCCAATTATTTTCAAATTTAAATCTCTTTTTTCTATTGTTCGGGCTTGAGATTTTCACCTTCATATGCAGGGCCATATGATCACTTGTCGGGGCTTCCACCGACGTTGCCTGAGCCTCCTGGAACATATCCCACCATGCATCATTCACCAAAATTCGATCGAGTTTTTCCTCCACCCAGTGCGCCGTGCCCTTGCCTCTATCCCAAGTCCATTGATATCCCGAAAAAGGGAAGTCTCATAAGCCACATCCATAAACCGCCTGTCAAAAGCCCTGTAATCTCCAGGGAGGGTGAGGGATACGACCCTTCTTTTCCGAATAAAAAAGGATGTCATTGAAATCACCGATCATCAGCCACGGATCATTATTCTCAGCCGCCAGTTCCTCCATCAAAGCCCATGCCTCTCTTCTCCGCCTAGTTTCCGGAAAGCCATAATATCCTGTTAGGCGCCATGGGATATTATTCGTCTTTAGAATGACTCTGCAATCAATGAAATTCTGGCCATTCTTCGTTATCTTCACTTCAACATCATCGTTCCAGCCGAGTAGCAGACCTCCACTCTGCCCTTCGCTATCCACCCCGAACGAATCAGAAAAACCTTGATGCCGTATTATGTCGTTTGCTCGTTGGCAGCGTACTTTGGTCTCCATTAAGAAAACAATTGATGGTCTGTTGGCATTTATCAAATCGCTAAGGCATTGAATCGTTGCTGGATTATCCAATCCCCTGCAATTCCAGCTTGTAATGCTCATTCTTCCTCAAGAGCCACCAGCACAATCCGCTCTACCAGACGCGTCGCCAAGCTTGCAGCAATCCCAGAGGGGGAGCGACAAGAACAGACCGAAAGCCACAGGGTCGGAATCGCCACTAAAACCAGACGCAGAGGAAAAACAAACGTCACTCGAGAAAGCCAAGGTCACCACCGAACAACAGTCCTGGACCCGAAGAAAACTCACCGGACTGGTGAATCAATCTCGCCGCCGGGACTAACTGCTAGGAGGAACCCTAGAGACGACCACCGTTCCCATATACGGAGTATTATATAGTTCTATTGATTTTCTTGGGATCCATTTGTTGATCCCTTTTAATTTAATTGCCACATGATTCAATGACTCCGGTATGATCGAAATTTGCCTCCCGATTAACGATCGGATCTGTACTGAGAATCCAAGGTGGGGGTTTTTAGGCGGAGAATGGGCAACAGTAGAGGAGGCCCCCCTACTTCCATATGAGACGACACTAATCCTTGAAACGTTTCCGTCTCATCAAACTTTATTAATTAGTTCGACATTCCAGTTTTAAATGGAAACAAAAATGGGAGAAATTTGAGAAAAATAATTTATTTGATTAACTAGGGTACCTTGAAAAAGTCAACTTCTTCTGGCTGATGAAGACTCGGGTAAGAAGAAGGTATGGGCTGAGCTCCGAGTGAGACGTAGTCTAGAAGACCGTGACTCGGACATTCCCTTCTTAATCCCTCTCCCCCACCACCTTTCCCATTATTCTCCTTCACCCCACCACTAAAGATACATTTTTCGCTGCCGCCGCCGCACATTCTTTTCCCGTAAATTACATGGTACAGCCGGTTGTACCGTGCGCACAGTACAGCCGGACTTTTAGATCGGAAATCGCAGGGCAGGCTTCGTAGATCGCAGGGCGCTGGACTTCCTCTGCAGATCGTTCTCGTTCTTCGCTCTCACCTACACAGATGATGATTCTCGACAGTCGCAACCTTCAGCACGAGCGCAACACCGGCTTGAGCGGCGGCTCTTGTGGCGGCTCCTCTTGGTGTATAGCCCTAATTGCTTTTTCTCCCTCTTTCCTGCTCTGGACTCTTCTTTTTTCTCTTTTTCTTTCCCAAGTTTGATGAGTGAGTTTGGTCACTTGTTGATAGCATGTCGGAGAAATCTAAATTATACGGAGTATGTAATTCTTCAAATGTGAGCATAACAAATGAAATTATGAGCACATTAGACATTTTAAATGAGTTTTATAAATGCTCATTTCATCATTTATGTATACTCATTTGATATTAGTGCAATACTCATTTTAAAATGTCATATTCATGTATGCTTCAAAATGAGTTTCATGTTAAACTCAAATGAGTATAATGCCCAAAAATAATGAACACCCACAAATGAGTTTTTTAATATTTTGATACTCATTTTGTAATTATGTATGCTCATTTTATACTGTTTCATGCTCATTTTAAAATGTTACACTCATGCATATTTCAAAAAGAGTTTTATGTTAAACTCAAATGATTATAACATCCAAAACGAATGAGCACACACAAATAAGCTTTTTAATATTTTGATACTCAGGTGGTAAGTTATGTATGCTCATTTGGTATTGTTTTATGTTCATTTTACAAAGTTGCACGTGTTAAGCATACTATACTACATTAGATTCACATATTGAAATTAATTATAAACATAATTTAAGAATTTTTTATAAACGAGAAATTAATAAAAAGAAACTGAATTAGAATATATGAACTAGAGATCATTGTGCTCGTTATTAGGCTTCTAATACTCAGAAGAACCAACTTGATGCTCATCAAAATTACATCGATGCTCATTTAAGAGAAACCATAAACTTCATCAAATTTACAAAAATGCCACTGGCTGTACGGTGCCAGCCGTACAGCCGGCTGTATGGTATACGCTTCCTTCTTTTCCGGTGGACAATTATAAAAAATAAAAAAGTTCAAAAACCTTTTAAATAGATGTCGAACATACAAATATTTTTAAAAATTAAAAAATATTGATTTTGATATTCTGAAAATTTTCACAATTTTTGGATATATTTCTTCAAAGTTTAACAATTTTTTAGAATTTTTAAGTATTAAAAACATGCTATTACATGTCAAAAGCTGATTAAATGGTCAAATTGATCCATTTTGTAAAGTAGGCGTACTTATATGATATTTTTTTAGTACAGGAGCTCAAATCACATATTGGAAATAGTACCAGGGCTTATTTGAACATTTTTCCTATATACTGAGGGAGTAGAATTTATTAATTTAATTGGTTTTTAGAGTTATAGTTATACGGTGTATTAGAAATTGCTCTGAAAAGGAGTAAAAACGTTTTAAAATTTCAAAAAAAGACTTTCATGTTTTCATCCCCTAAAGTTTGTAAAATAATTTTTGTCAAGTTTGTAAAAAAATGTCATTTTTAAAGTTCAGTAATCTTATTTAGTGAATAAAAACATGGAAGTCTTATTTTGGAATTTGAAAACATGTTACTCAAGGAATTTTCCCTAGTTATATTCCTTTATTCTTGTTCCAAAGTTCCCTTTTTAACTTCTTTTAGTGAATGTGTCTATCTATTTAATATGCTTAAGCTCAAAATTAATTATAGTACACCACTTTAGACAATTGATTTATTTTCATAATAATGATACCAATATATTTAATACTATTGATTAAATTCTACTTTTGACCCTACGAGTATCACATTAGTTCCACAATTAGTCAACGTCTTTGACTTTAGCCATTTTTGGTACATGACTATTGTTTTTCGTCCAAGTGGACAAAGTAAAAGATATAGATTAAATGTGGAATTGACGTAAAACTCATAGGATCAAAAGTGGAATTAATATTAATGTCAGTCTGTTTGCCGGATTAATCCGTGGTGACGGCAACGACACAGAACCCTAGCGGCAATTGGCAGTCCGACGACTTGGGGCAGCAGCTCCAACCCTATAAAAATATTTCTGTTCAATCACAAGTAAAAATCACTACTTATGAAAGTATAAACTACTTGGTCCTATTTTTCAAAATATATGAGTTTTAGTCCATTCTTCCTACTTTACTACATGGCGGCATTCTTCCTACTTTACTACATGTCTACATGCAACAATGTTTTTGAAGAAAACACGCATGTGACGTTATAAACAAAAATAAAATTCAAAGTTAAACAATGTTTAACTTTGACTTTTATTTTTGCCTTCTTCCAAAATGTTGTCAACCTTTCTACCACTCCCTAATTACAACTTCCTATTTTATTTGTATCACAAGTTAGATCGATGTTTCTATCAATGTGTACAAAAGTGCAATTGATATTAGTACTACGTATTCATTTTTGTTCCGTGTGTCGCACCGCACGGGTGAGAAATTATTTATGCTTAAAGCCAAATAATATTACATAGTATTAACTTTTGTTCCGTTGATTAGTTGTGTATTCTCGTTTTAATGAGATTTCACGTGGAAGTGTGGAACACTTAGGGCCTGTTTACTAACAGAAATATTTTCTGGTTTTTGAAAACTTTGGAAAACTGGAGACAGAAAAATTTGAAAACGTGTTTACCGTTGTGTTTTCCAAAAGGAAAAAAACGAGATATGTCTCGCCTTTTCCTTCGTTAATTGAAAAATGACATTCGGACGTTTTCATGTTTTAGAAAACGCGGAGCTACAGTGCACCCTATTAACTCTCGCTTGCCTTCATTCTTTACAGCGCTCTACCTTCCTCTTTATTGTGCTCTACCTTCCTCCGATCCCCTTTAATTTACTGCGTCTATCTTCCTCAGCTGTACGCCCTATTTTTACTCCTCGTCATTACTGCGCTCTACCTTCCTCCGCCTAACATATTTACATCTCCTCCAAACCGCTTCAATTTAAAGACAGGGTAACCCTTCCCTCTCGTATTAAAGTGGCACGCAGCTTCCCCAAAGTCATCGCAGCGCTTCTCCAACACTCTCCAGGATGCATCTTTGTTTCCCAAAGGCATTGCACCAGTCCCAGCAAACAGAGCGTAGCCGGTAGGAGCTGGACTCTGCCATCACGGACTCTCCCAATTCTTCAGTCGGCTCTTGTTCTGTGAACGATTTCAAGGTAAGCTCTCAAATTAATTGGCATTTTTACTTTACCTTGTTGATAATTCGAATTCAATTGGAAACTGAAGGCCAATTGAGCTTCAGTGTTTTTAATTTCTGGCTAATTTGTTTATTTCTTGATCTATTTTTCGTAATTGTATATGGATATATATATATATATATATATATATATATCCATATTATGAATTTTTTTCAACCTTTTTATGTATTAATTATTACTCACGAAGAGAATTGAAAGAGAGGGGGTTGTGTGGTCAGTTTTTTTTGTCTCTTAACTATCTATGTTTAGTCATTTATTTTTTAGACATTTTGATTTGGGTTGAAAGACAAGGGTTCTGTGGAGAGTATATCTTATGGTGAACAACTTTATACAACAGAAAGAGTATAATGGAAGTCTGTTATGGATATACTATTTTTTCAATGCTTAATGTATGTTTTCATTGCTTAAGAATTCCTTTTTCATTGCTAAAGAAGTCTGTTTTTTCACCTTTTTCCGGAGTATATACAGAGTGTCTTCCAAGAATTAACCTATACGGAGTAGTTATTTTTTATGTTATCTTTTGGAATCCTCTAGCTGGCAGAAAGATCATAGACTTGTAACTAGTATAATACTGAAGTTTACGAATCTCAATATATAATGGAATCCATATAAACTTTGGCTTTGAATGGGGGTGTGGTTGGGGCACAGATAAAGCATCAAGTTTCATATTCTGCCTAATGAGCAGAAAAGGAAAGTTGAACTTTAATAAAGGAAGGAAGTTAATCCTTCAATTCCGTCACCGCTTAAGGTTTCTATTTGAATTGTAGCAAATGTTTAGCACTCTCAGACGCTCACTTAATCCTAAAATATTAAAAATATTACACCTTTTTTTTTTTTTTTTTTTACACCTATAATGTACTACTAGTAGTTATCATCAATGGCCTCACTATATTATATACCCATCAAAACTACTTCTCAAAATATACTCAAATAATCTTATTTAATTATTGTCAAAATGTCGTGCCATTTTCAATGAGAAGTTAAAGTCAGGACAGATGTAGTACATGTTTGGTTAATTGGACGAATTGAGTGTTTTTATGTTTGAAATATATATTCTCTCACATCCAAATATTGAAGCGAGAAACATGGGTTTATAAGAACTTGAAAGTAGCTAATTGATTAATCAAATCTTTTAGTGTGGTTTGATCCAAGTGTATAATGACCCAATTAAGTGACAACAATCAGTTGAACCATTTCAAATATCTTCAAGATAAGCCATGCTCCAACAATACTTTGAGACCTGGGATTGGGTGGGAGGAGGCACTATATGTGTATTACTTTTAATTATTTTACATAATGAAGCATTGCAACAGATAATGATTCAGATGTTTATACCAAACTTGTTTCTCCTAATTCTCGCATTGTGGCAACTCGTGAAAGTGGTGCATAGATAAGGGGATACCATAGGTATCTCGTAAAAAGTGTGGACAGTGTGTTTCCACTATGAATAGAACTCTTGATCTACACTAAAAAAAATAGTGTTGTTTGGTCCAAATAAACTATTGCTTGTTGTCATTGACACTTGTCATCCATATAAACATGTAGAGAAAAAATTTGTGAGAATAATTATGCACCAAGGTTCTACAAAAATGTTATCCTACCTACATAAATGTGCGGTTAAGCAGGCACCTTTTGACGTGTTCTATAGAAAAGGCAGTTTGATAGACGTTTAGTAATATATGGTTAAAGGCAGGTTATATATGGGTTTGGCTAACTTATGTTGTTAGCACATTACAATTTAGCTAAAATTTTGTGGTAGATGAGTTTAACTCAAGAAGAAAAGGATGATGCCATATGGCCTGATGAAAAAGAGACTTTGTTTTTTACTGTGCTATATGAAAGAGTAAAAAAAGATCCAACGGGAATCCAACATATAAGGGTCGAGACTGGAATGATATGGATAATGAGTTGTTGGTCCGAGGTCGTTATCAATATGGTAGTGACAGGTTACAGGGAAAGTACAATAGGATGAAGCTCATACATAGACAATTTGGTCAGTTATTGGCTCATACTGGAGTTACATATGATTCCAGTCGGAATGTTGTTCATGCCACGGAGGAATGTTGGCAGAAATTTTACAAGGTG